ATAGAGACTGCCTCCCTTTACTCGCAGGTCTCCTGTTCCTGCAGCTTAAACTTTCCCATGGCTCCAACCCAGCCACAAGCACAGACTCCCTGCCTCCCCTTTCCCAGGGCATCCAAGTCCTGAGTTTGTGCGGCTCCTCTCCAAGATAGAGGACTAAGCTCCTTAATGAGCACCACAGGCTGTCCATCTTTCCTGTGTTGGCTCCCCAGAACAGGCTTTCAGTCCCCTGGGTGGAAAGACTGTCCCAATCCTCTCCCTCCTCTCTCTTTCCTGCCATCTGCTGTGTTTATATCCCGGGGACAGGCAACCAGACACCTCCATTATGCTGGCAATCCAATCAGTTGCATGCATATTTTTAGGCTTGTGCCTTTTCAGAGGTCCTGCATGCAAGCCCCTTCCTGCCCTTTCTGCAAAGGCTCTGGCATTGCTTCCCTGCCCAGCCTGCTGTCTCCACAGCTGGGCAGCTGTTACAATTCTATGGCACAAGTGTGTGTACAACTTGAGAGGCTTTGAAAAGCAATCTTTGGGGAGAGACAGCAGGAGTGAACTCCCTATGGTAGAGTGATCAGAAAAACACAGAGATAGAGGCAGGCAGTAAGCACTGACTGGCAAGCCAGTATACCTAAGTCAATCTGGGATTTCACTGTGACACCAGACTGATCCAGGAGAATTCATGAAGCCAGTGAGGTCATGATGGGCCTTAATACAAGGCATACAACCTGCCTTGGAATTGGAAAGCACCTTATAATTCACTGCATGGGGCTGTTGGTGTGTGAGGGAAGCTATAGGGGAGAAGGTAATAATCCTCCCCAGGTGGAAGGAGTAAATGCAACCCAGGGCACAGATGAAGCAAACAATGGCAGACAAGGGAGGATTATGGAGCCATCTGGTGAGCTGCAAGGTTTGCCAGTGGCTGCTCCTTTAGGAAATCTCATCTACCCAGGGAGCTGATGGTCAGATGCTAATGCACCCCAGAGTGGAGGGGCAATTACGTTCTGTGTCTACAGCTGTCCAGCCTCATGCCAAGCAAGGAGGTGAGTGTTAAGAAGTTCAGAGGGACTTAGCAGGGACATACAAGAAGTTAGGGGAATTGGCTTGAGCAAGGGATGCCTGTTGAAGAGCACAGATATCACCAAAGTTAGGACTTGCAGAGATAAGTTATTTGACCTCACACATAAAGGGTCTAAGAAGAGCCCAGATCACACAGTTTAGCTGGCTGTTGCCTTACAAAGTTCCAGGGTGTGACATATCAGTGTGTGAAGGACACCTCATCTTACCACTCCTAAAGCAGGGGCTTCGTACAACCTGGACCATGGAATGGCTGATCCCAGAAGCCAGGTGGGACCAACACAGTTCAAGAGACTTGAACCACAGACTCAGAGCTCAGTCACTTCTCCTCAGAGGAGAAGCAGAGGCTGAGATTCTCATCTGTGCACTTGTGGAAGATGAACCAGCTTGGGTAGAGGAGATAGAATGGGGCAATAGCCATGTCAGAGGAAACAAAGAAGGTTTTTGCATACTATGGCCTGTAAGCATAGGAAGACCCTCCCCTGTTTGACGTAACACTTATGCACTTGCTTAGTTCACTCTATTGATCATTTTATCTATCACATACCTTTCCCATGGCAGGGGTGGAACAGGGTTAGGGTTCCTATGTGGCATATCCACAGAAGAAATGATTTCCTAACCCTGCAGGGAGGATAGGAGATCAAACCTATTTATGAGAGAGCTACCAATTACCCTTCACTGAGTTCCTTGTTGGTTTTTAACAGGTGTTTGGAACCTGGGTCTGGATCCTGGTTGCTGCCACCTCAGTGCATTTTCCATTGCTGCAGGGATGGGTTATGTACGTGTCAGTAAGTTCATTTATCATCTCCCTGGCACTCCTGCTGATTTACCTGTTTGGATTTCAAAGAAACAATGAAAATTGGAGAATCATGGTAAGAACACACTCTGTCGTGCCGGGTGCTGCTGCTGGGGGTGGCTCTTGTCCCCGTGGCTGCTCTTCAGCTTCAAGGCTCTCTGTTTTTGTCATCTGAGAGCAAGCATACATGAAGTAGCTCATATATTAGCACAGATGTAGAAGCCACATACAACAAAATACAGGTGAAGTAATAATGTGCCTGAATCTTAACTTTGAATTTCCTGGTTTCACTTGCAGATGAAGACAAAAACCCAGAGACAAGTAAACAGCCTGGGGATCTGAATAAAAACTTAGCAAGGGGAAGCAGCAATAGAAACCTTAGTAATGTCCTCAGGGAGAGGATACGACAGCCAGTTAGATACCTGAATTTTTTATCTACTGATGTGAGAAGTATAGGGAACAAACAGCATGACTTGGAGATCCTAGTACAATCACAGAATGATGGTGTAATTGGAATTATGGAGATGTGGTGGGATAGCTCACATGACTGGAGTATGGTCATGGATGGGGATAGCTTGTTTAGGAAGGGTAGGCAGGGGAGAAAAGAAGGAGGTGTTGTCCTGTGTCTAAAGGCAATGTACATGAGTTCTGAGGTGCAGTACTAAGTGGAAGGTGGGCCTGTTGAAATCCTCTGCATAAAGGTCACAGGGGACTTCAACAGAGGGGATATCATGATGGGCATCTGCTATAGGTCACCAAACTAGGAGGAGGAGGTGGACAAGGCCTTCTTTAAACTATTGACAGAAACTTCCAAATAGCAGGATTTGATTCTCAGGGGGAACGTTAGTTACTGAGATATCTGTTCAGAGGGAAACAGCAGCATGCAAACAGTCCAGTAAATTCCTGAAGTGTGTTGTGGATAACTTTGATACAGATGGTAGAGAGTCAACTAGGGGGAGAAACACTTCTTGACTTACTGCTCACAAACATAGAGGAATTGGTTGAAAATGTGAAGGTGGCAGTGAACATGAAATGATAGAGTTCAAGAACCTAAGGGGAAAAAGAAAGGAGAACAGCAGAATAAGGACACTGGACTTCAGAAAAGCAGACTTTAACAAGCCCAGGAAACTGGTGGGCAGGATCCCCTGGGAGGCAAGTCTTAGGGAAAAGGAGTCCAGAAAAGCTGCCTATATTTTAAGGAGCAAGCTGTACCAATGTGACAGAAGTCCGGGAAGTGCAACAGCAGACCAGTATGGATATACAGCAATCTCTTCAATGAGTTGAAACTCAAAAAAGGACTTCTATAAAAATGTAAGGTCATAGTACTAAGGAAAAGTATAAGAGTATCACATGGGCATTCAAGGAGAAAATTAGGAAGGCCAAGGCACAATTTGCAATGCAAGTGGCAAGAGACATAAAAGGAGATAACAAGGGATTCTACAAGTATGTCAGAAGTAAAAGGAAAACCAACCAGAGCAACCATAGGTCCCTTGCAGAATGCAGAAGGCAATCTGGTTATGGATGATACAGAAAAGACTGAAGTATTTAATGCCTTTTTTACTTCTATTTTCACAAATAGGGGCAGCTACCATATGACAGTTGCAGTTGACAGCAAAGATTGGGAAGGAGACAAACAGTCTGGAGTAGTAGAACAAATTATGGATTGGGCTAGGAGCCAGAATGTCCTGGATAGACTGGAGAAGTGGTCAGATGAGATAATCAGATGAGATTCAACAAGGGCAAGTGGAAAGTCCTTCACTTGGGGTGGAATAATTGCATGCACAAATACAGAAAAGGGAATGGCTGGCCAGGTTGCAGAACTGCAGAAAGGAAACCAGGGGTTACAGTGGACATAAGCTGATTATGAATCAACAGTGTGCTCTTATCCAAAAAAAAAAAAAAAAGCCAACAGCATACTGAGTTGTATTAACAGGAGTGTCACTTGCAAATCCAGGGAAGTGATTCTTCTGCTCTATTCAGCACTGGTGAGGCCTCACCTGGAGTACTGTGTCCAGTTCAGGGCCCCACACTTCAAGAATATTAACAGTTTTGAAAGTGTCCAGAGCAGAGCAGCAAAAATAACTGGCGATTTGGGAAGCAAGATTTATGAGGAAAGGCTGAAAGAGCGAGGGTTATTTAGTCAAGAGAAGAAAAGACTGGGGGGTGGAGGGGAATTTGATAGCAGTCTTCAAATACCTGAAGGGTGATTTACAGAGAGGATGAACATGGACTTTTCTTGTGGTTGTAGGGGACAGAACTAGGAGTAGTTGCCTCAAGCTGCAGCAGGGGAAATTAGAAAGCTGGAGGTTAGGAGGAACTTTCTGACTATAAATGTGGACAGGTACTGGAACAGGATACCTAGAGACACTGTGGAATATCCAGCCTCGGAATTTTTCAAAAGCAGGTTAGACAGACACGTGGCTGGGATATGTTTGTCAGGGGTTCATTAGGTGACTTTGTAAGGTCCCTTCCAGTCCTACTTTCCTATGACGCTATGGTTCTATGAGATTAGGCTGTCTTCTGTGTGTGGTGAGGAGTTCCCTATGTCATGCTTGTGTTTTGGCACCATACTTTCCTCACTTGTCTCTCCTTTCTCAGGATAGTCTTTACCATGGGACCACCGGGATATTATACATGAGTGCTGCAGCCCTACAAGCAAATGCAACAATTCGCTCTGAAACTGAAGTGCCAGCAGCCTATACGCCTCAGTACTATCAGATCAATGTTACTGCCTCGGTAGGTCAAATCCCCAGGATGCTGGTTAGCTGTTCATTCTGTGTAACCACCTCCCTTTCCCCCCAAATTTCCATGGGGGAAAAATCTCATTGTTGCTGCAATTTTTAAATTCTGTCTTGAGAAAATCAAAACAAAGTATTTCACTGTGTGTCTGGCTGTCCCAAATCAAAATGTTTTGCCGCCTCAAACCCAATACGAGCATTTTTGTTTTAGGGCAGTCAGATAGTAATTTTGTTTGCTGGAGCTACTGTAGTGCCTTGTGGGGCTGACAGTTCAGTTCGGTGATTTATACTGCCTCCCCTCTCCTGTGGTCTGGGCTACCTGGATAGACTTCACCTCTTTTGATACATTGGGTTCTTTCCTCCTCTATCACGCATGTGCTATGGGAGTCCCCTGAGTATGGCGCATTTTGGGAGATGTCGGCCTACGAGGAAACCAGTCCAGAGAGGAATGGAAGAGCCAAATTATGGCTCTCAGGAGGTGCTAAGGATGGCCAGCCATTGACTGAGTCAACCCAAAATATGTTACTGCTGTGCTTCTGAATCCATTTTTTTTAAAGAAACTTTTTGTTCCATAAAAAATTGATATGTTGGCTTTTCTTTTCAATATGGGACAGAAAAAGATTTCTGTTTTTCAGCCAACCTGTTCTTCAGCTTTTCCCCACTGTTACAGCCTAAGCTTTTTCATTAAGAGAGGGGAGGGATCATCTAAAGAGAGAGAAATCCACTGATGACAAGGCATTGCATGGATATCTAAGGACATCAGTCACCCCAATGCAGTGACTGACAGGGGAGGCTCATTTTACAGTAACGTCCTCTCTGTTTTTCTTTCAGTTCTTTGCCTTTATCACAGCTCTACTATATATTTTGCATGCCTTCAGCATTTACTACCAATGAAGACTGATGGAAAGGATAGAAGATAGGTGTCAAAGAAACAGAGTAGCAACTTCTGGAGTTGTATCCTTAAAACAATGAAGAACAGAGTTTGAATGTAAATTTAGGTCTCTCTGAGCCTGCCATTGTTTTCTTTTAAGTTGAAATGGTGTTCGTTTTGTAAGCCTGTACTGAAGTCCTCCTTTTTATACAGCATTGTGTGTTTTTGTCAGACAATAGCATAATTTAGGAAAAGCTAATTTCAAATATCTCTACCCAAAATATGATAATTGCTCTTCCCAATGTACCTGCTCTGGAGCCCACTGTCATTTCCAAAGATTTGCAGTCTTGTATACTCATGGTGGAGAATACAGGAAATACCTTACTGGATAATACAAAGCTCCCTTTATTTTCTTATGACACCTCTTTTGGCATGGGTGGTTGTTTTAATTTAGCTTCTCTCCTAATCTGGGATGGTTGTAACTGTGTCACTTTCCAGTTCCTCCAGCTTGAGTAGGCAAATACTAGTTCACCAGGTGCTTAGCTGAGCCCTTTTCCCACTCCTGCTCCCCCTGGAACAACTTTGTTCTTGTGCAAAAAGCCACTGCAAGGTGCACAGAAGCCCGTGGGCTGAAGGTTCCATAGACTCCCACGGGGCAGGATTTCACCCTCTGGTCAGATTCCCAGTCTCGCTTTAGGAAGGACAGCCTCTAGTTTTCCACACAGAGGCCTGGCCTTGTGTCACTTTTTAGCAACTTCCCCAGCCTGGAACCCACAGGGCCTTGAGAAATAAAGAGAAGCAGAGGCAAATACCATTGCATTTTGTACCCTGGCTGTGGCAGTGAGGCTGTGTTAATTCAGGTTGGGAAGTTTCGGTGAGACACCCAAACAACAACTCTATAAAGCGTGTGCAGATATGAAAGGTGGCTGTTAATAATAAATAGTCTCGCACACAGGTGTTTCTGTCATCTGTACATACCCCATGCTGGCACATGAAGGCTGGATGATGTGCCAGATTTTGGGTCCCCAGGGTACCAGCTGCCCTGGGAACCCCTCAGTCAGACTACTAATTGAGGTGTCCCATGGAGAGGTGTGTCCCTCAGCCTCGCCACCCAGGAATTTGCGCTGAACCCGATGAACATGTTATTCTTTATTATACACAACCAATTTTTAAATAAAAAAATATAATAACAATAGTTAAGAACAAAACTAACAATTTAGATAAAATTTACCACTACAAAGTTTGGTGGATAATCCCAGCACACTGGGTGGTCCCACTTGTGTTAAACAACCTAAATAACTAAATTAACCTCATTATAACCTTTTAAAACAGTTTCCCCCATAGCCCAATTGATTTCCTTCTGGTCACCATCAACTTCCTATAATGCTAAATAGCAACACAGCTATAACTATGAGCTACCACTAGATAGATGGTGGAGGCAAGGCTTCTGCTGCTCTGGGGAAAGTGGGCTCTTTTCATCATTCCTGGTAACACAGCGAAACAGGCTCTGAACAGCTGCTGCAGGCAATAGGCTCCGTTTGCTTCCTTTACTGGCAGGTTGTTCTCTAAAGCAGTTTCCTTCTGAAAATACACTTACTGCAAACACTAGTGATTAGGTGTCCCCTCACACATCCATGCTGGTTTGTTTTCTCAGCCCACCCCCTCTCGGGGCTGTCTTCCCCCTCCCAGTACATCTACCCGCAGACAGGTGTTTCTCTCTGCATGTCTCTGACTGTGGCTTGAGCCTTCCCAGATTGGATTTCACTCCAGTGTCTCAGTTGGACACAACTCATAGCCTGGTCATTAACCCTTTAAGGGCTTGGCTGCTTCTCCCAACCCCAGCAAGCCTATCAGCCTTGCTTACCAATGCCTCCCCACTCTTTCCCTGGCACCTTTGTCCCTGTTTGCACAGCTCTGAACCCAGAGGGGAATCAGCTTCTCACGGGACAACACAGGCTCTTCCCCATCCTGATACCTGCTCCCTGGGCAAGTTTCAGACTGGTCTCCCCTGGCTTGGGCTGAGTCTGTGCCCCTTCTCTCCAGGGCTAGAGTTGACTCCTTCCAGCTTCTCCTCCTCTTTTCTCTCCCTCAGGTTTTATGGCTCAGTAGCAGCCAATCAGAGCCCCCAAGTTGCAATGCGGTCACAATTTAAACACTCTGGTCACAATTTAAATGCTCCATTAAGAAGTATGTATTGTGCACTGCATACTCTCCTGTCTGGTAAAACTTATGCACCCTCTGCAAAGTTTTGCCACCCTTTTGTTGCAAAACTCTTAAGCACAGCTCACCCATTCAGCTTGCAACCAGGTGAGCTTTGCAGCTTTTACATGTAGGAGTGTGTGTGTCACTGCTGTGGGGCAGGAAACTGAGAAGTGCCCTGGCACATCCTGTTCCATAGGTCATGTGTGGCTGTGGCAATCACACTGTGCACTCTGCTTCTACTCCTTAGGGAGACAACAGGCCATGTCCCTTCTGCCTCAGGTCCTCATCCAGGAGCAATGCAGGGACTTATGCCAGGCTATGCCATACATGCTGCCTCCCAGTACAGGGGTAACAGTCACTGCTGTGGTGCCTTGCAGGTCTCAGCACATCATCCTGACACAGGGAAATGGGAGGTGGAGCTCAGGGAGGCAGAGGATGAGATAGCTTCAGCCATTGACATCTTTCTTGGTGTTTGATGGACAGCTCCCAGACTATCCCATTTACTTTGGCTGTGATCAATAAAGAAATTCTTTATCTGTTTCATTACCACCTAAAACTGTGACTTGTATGTAGACATAGGTGACCATAGGGCTCCCAGAATGACGTGGGTTGGATGCCAGGGAGACCACTCACAGAAACTTCTGTGGGTGTAGGCTGGGGAGTGTGGGGCATCATTAGGGTTGGATTGCTACTTGTATGAAACCCTAAATTTGAATGGACCACTTGCGGACTGGTCATGTGGTCTGGGAAGCCAGAAAGTAGGTTACTAGGCAAAGCACATTTTTGTAGTCTTTGGAGAATGAACAGAGCTGGGTTCAATAGGGAATGTACACTTTTCCTTCTTTTCAAGCAACCAGTGCTGCACACTTTGAAAAACTCCTTGGGGGAACTTTATTTCAGTGAAAGTTATACAACCAATAGTAAAAGAGTTAAACCAATAGTAAGAAATTTAATAAAAGATAGGAAGAAAAATTATCCCTAAATTGCCCGTTTCCTTCATCCCTCCCCCCGCACCCATTCAAACGTCATCTTACAGGGACATGACAGATAGAAAGGTACTCTGAGCTCATAACTGCAGATGAGAGCAGATAAGGCAGCAATGCCTCCCACCCCCACCCCCACAGGAAAACCAAAAAAATCCCATCACCCCCCTTTTTCCATATATACACACATAATGAACCTCAGGAAAGGTACAAGCATTGACTACATAGTAATAAAAGGTAATAAGAAGTGAGAAAACCCTTCAAGCATCAGCACTACTGACTGCTGATTACTGACTGCCTGCAGACTTGAAATTTTATTTGGACCTCCCTCAGCTTTGGTTCCATTCATGCTTTATGCACGAGAACCTGGTGGGTCTGCTCTGTATCCTCATCCCCTTCATCCCTAAAGCATAATGGGTCTCTCTTCTTGCCGACAGAAGAGGCACAGCAATCAGAGACTTGTATCTAAACTTGGAGGAAAATGAGGGACAGCTATGGAGAGATGAAACCATGTCTGACTTGTCAGAATCATGAATCATCACAATTTAACTCTGAGACTGACTCTGTATGACAATAAAACAAAAAATATGCTCAATCAAAAAAAGTGTGATCACTGATTTGTCATGCTTTGGGGTGATGGGGATCCCTGGAAATGGTCCTGGTTGAGAGGGCGGACCATGACTGTACATGTTGGCAGGGAAAAAATGGGTACGCCAGTGGATGTGGGGGTTGGGGAGGGTTAGGATCAATGCTTGCTAAGGAAGAGCTAAGCTGTCTTAAGTGTTTCCATGGCTTCCAACAGTGTTCCCTGAGGCAAAATGGCAACCATCCTTACAGTTGCTATGTAAATGAGGAATGATCTGGCATGGACAAACAGGTTAAAAAACAAACAAACTCCCAATTACTGCTGTGCCCTGAAATTAACCACGCCAGTACGTTTATCAGGGGGAGAACTCAAAATTGATTTGCTGATCGCAGAAAATTTGTGCTTATGTGGGTTTATGCTGGCCACTGTGCAGAGGGAGTATTTATGGAATTACAGCCAAAAAAAGCAACCCTGTCTCACCCCATGTTACCCCTTGCACCCCACGTCTCATACCATATGCTGGCTGCCTATGCTGGCTTATGCTGGCCACCTGGAATCCCCTCCAAGCTGTAGGTGAGGGCTGGTCAAGCCAGCCTTTCAAGTTTCCCCGAAGCAATACCCCACCTTTTTCACCCTGATGCCTGAGATCGTCCTAGTATCATAGTTTCATAGTTTGTAGGGTCGGAAAGGACCTGAGCAGATAATCAAGTCTGACACCTTGCCATGGCAGGAAAGAGTACTGGGGTCAAATGATCCGGGCTAGGTGATTGTCTAGCCTCCTTTTGAAGACCCCCAGGGTAGGAGCAAGCACCATTTCCCTTGGAAGTTGGTTCCAGATCCTACCTTCCCTGACTGTGAAGTAGTGCCTCCTGATATCTAGCCTGAACCTACTTTCAGTCAACTTGTGGCTGTTATTCTTAGTTACTCCTGGTAGTGCTCGGGACTCTCCTGTTCCCCAATGGTCCCCCCTGGTAAGTTTATAGATGGCCACCAGATCCCCCCTCAGCCTTCTCTTGTGGAGGCTGAGCAGGTTCAGGTCCCGTAGCCTCCCCTCATTGGGCCTGCCCTGCTGCCTCCTGACCATGCGAGTGGCCCTCCTCTGGACTCTCTCCATGTTGTCCACATCCCTCCTGAAGTGCAGCGCCCAGAACTGGATGCAGTACTCCAGCTGCAGCCTGACTAACGTCACACAGAGGGGGAGTATCACCTTCTTGGACCTGCTCGTGAAGCATCCATTGATGCATGACAAGGTGCGGTTGGCTTTCCTGACTGCATCCCCACACTGCCGGCCC